ATAATGGGATATACTCTTGATCTAATCGCTTTCCATGTCGACCGTGTTTTTTTATTTCTTCCTTTTCGATGCCCACATATATTGAAACACAATTCTTTTCTCATGCGTCGACAATATATAAATATACATGCTTTGTGTCCAGTAGCTAGTAAATTCGCTAAGGAAGTGATGTGGAATCTCAGAGTCGAGGGACTAAAAGATAGAATCAGAAATGGAGAAAGATATCGTCTCTCGCATCTGCGGTCAAATTTTGACTTGATCGAATGATGGTTCGATAGAATCATAATCTAAACGTATTTGGTCGACTCAGAGTTTCAACTAATAACGTTGTATGACAAACGCCACAACATTTCTCAGTAGAGAACCCAACAGGTGTGACAAATTTTAAAAAATGGTCTCATCCCAAGGAAAGGTTGCCGAAGAGAATGATTCCCTGTCCTAGAGGGCACTTCACTCTATAATGCAAAATGTTTGATTCAAAAATGAAAGATTTTTCTCAAGAAAGACGGTACCTTGAAATACTGACAAATCCACTTCTGTTCATTCTTCTAGTTTCACAAACGATGGAAAATAAGACAATTATTATCAGCAATTCTGTTAAAGTAGACGATAGTCAAAAGGCAACGCCGGTCGGAATACCAACTACGATAAATATGGAAGAGATAACTTTAATTTGGTTTGATGAAGATATCCGTTTAAGAGAAGATATAAAGGAAACGACAAAAGTTCTTCGACAAATAAATGACTGTATCATATTTCACGACGACAAAGACAAATGTATTAAACACATTAAATCAATTCAACATGAAAAAATACTTTTCATCTCAACATGTGAATCTGCCTTGGATATTTTGAATATTGTACACCATTTAAGCCAAATTCATTTAGTATTTCTGCTTTCCACGACCCCAAAACAATATGAGCATTTATTGCATGAATATTCAAAAATTGTTAGAATATTTGAAGAACAACACGAGCTTATTAACTCAATTAAACAAAATATCGATTTAGCTGAAAAGCAAATGCAAACATTTAGCTTTTATGATCAAAATCAAAAGTATATGCGTGATCTCTCTAGAGAATCCGCATCATTTCTTTGGTTTCAATTATTCAAAGACGTTATTTTAAACATGCCCAAAACAACAGGATCGAAGAAAGAAATGATCGAAAAATGTCAAGAGTATTACCGTGGAAACTCAAAGGAACTCTAAAACATCAACGAATTTGATAAGACTTATACATCTTCCGAGGCAATTAAATGGTACACGAAAGACTGTTTCGTTTATAAATTGCTTAATAAAGCCTTACGAACAGAAGACGTTGAGCAATTATACACATTCCGCTTTTTTATTGCTGATATTTGTCGCAGTCTGGCTCAGAAATACGAAGAACTAAAAACCCAGCAAACCTCATCCACCGTGAAAACTCTGTACCGCGGACTTAAATTGTCTGATAATGACTTTCACAAATTGAAACAGTATGAAGGGAAATTAATATCGGCTAATGGATTTTTCTCAACAAGTGGGTCGAAACAAGTAGCTCTTATGTTCGCCAGCGAATCAGCAACAGAACCTCCACAGCAATCAGTTCTATTTGAAATACAATGTGGAATACCAGCCAACATGGCCACACTTGCAGACATATCCGAAATCAGCAATTTTCACTCAGAAGAAGAAGTTTTGTTTGATCTGGGAGCAATATTTCTAATTCAGACAATCGAACCAAGTCCGAAATCAAACGTTTGGGTCATCAAAATGAAAGAGACTGCTCAAGGCGCATCAGTTGTCCGAGACTACAAGGAACTAAATAAAAAAGCCATGCAAAAACATAGCGCAGTCATCATCTTCGGTGATCTTCTTACCAACATGGGTCAATATGCCAAAGCACAAACGTATTTCGAAAGCCTCTTAGCATCTCCAAACCGAGAAGATATAAGTTGGATCTACCACAAAATTGCAACCGCTCACTACCGCAAAGGTGAATACGAACAATCATTACAATACTCCCTACGCGCTCAAGAAACAAACATGAATGACGATCCAACCGCAAGTCAAACACCGGCACACATTATAACAGACATTGCCAGTGTTTACTTTTCAAAGGCAGATTATGATCAAACATCGGACTCTCACCCGAAAGCATTAAGACTGGCAGAAATTCGTCTTCCTCCGAACCATGACAGTACAGCGGCAAGTCTCATGACTATCGGGAATATTTATTATTCCAAGGGAGATTCTGATCAAGCTTTGCAATATTCTCTAAAATCATTAAGAATGCACGAAATTTATCTTCCTCCAAACCATGACAGTACAGCTGCGAGTCTCATCAACATTGGGAATATTTATTATTCCAAGGGAGATTCTGATCAAGCTTTGCAATATTCTCTAAAATCATTAAGAATGCACGAAATTTGTCTTCCTCCGAACCATGACAGTACAGCTGCCAGTCTCAGGAATATTGCGAATAATTATCGAGCGAAGGCAGATTATGATCAAGCTTTGGAATATTCTCTAAAATCATTGAGAATGCAAGAAATTTGTCTTCCTCCGAACCACCACACTACAGCTGCGAGTCTCATGACTACTGGGAATATTTATTATTCGACGGGAGATTATGATCAAGCTTTGCAATATTACCTGAAAGCATTGAGAATAAAAGCCATTTGTCTTCCTCCGAACCATGACAGTACAGCTGCGAGTCTCATCAACATTGGGAATATTTAT